GTGTGGCCAGACTTGAGCTAGTTGACCAGGCCAGGCTCTACATATTCCCTGTAGCCAGATGGCTTCCTAGGCCTGCTGAGCTTCTCCAGTGCCCTAATTTCCCGATACCTTAATACTACCTCTTTATCAAAGCCACCAAGTACCTACCAATATGAAGCACCACTTTAGGGATGCCTACAGTGGTGGTCCCCAGAGGATGCCTGTCTACCACACAGTAAGAGAATCCACAAACGGAGTCTGAAATAATAGGGCCGGATGGCCAAGTCACAAGCAGGGAAGCACATGCAACCTACTGGGGAGGAGGTTTCTCATTTTTAGCCTGATAGGTCAGGAAAACTTTGCCCAAATGGCAAGACTGTTGGGCAGAGAGAGCAGAAAGAAACAGCCCTTCACGAGTACTGCATGGAGGACAGTAGGCAGACAGGCTGGCTGAAGGTGTGTAAGCAGCTGGGAGATGAGGTTGGAAGGTTAGTCTGGGATAGTGTGATGCTTTGGCATCTAAGCTAGGTCTGTGCCTCAGTTTCTACAGGTTTTGCTTCTCTTCCTGTTCTGGCTCACATAATGCTATTACTTCTACTCCACGCAGGTGGAAGGACAAAAACTGGGTCTAAATCTACTTGCGGAAATAATTAAACCTCTCATTCCCTATCTTGGGAGAGCAAGTGCTGCAGGGCAAGATTACCAGGGCTGCTCCTGGGCTCCATCTGCCCTGGTTTCTGCCCCATTCCCAAGCCTCTTGCTGATAGGATGGGCCTGGAGTATCCGGCTTGCTCAACTGGTGAGGGAAGCAAAGCCACTATTTAGCATGTTTGTGTGGTTATTTATCTGACTGTGAGGCAGGTTCACACTTTCAAAAAGTAAGCAACAGTTGCCTTGGTTAAAAAACAGGCCATAAAGAATTTTTGCTCCTGTTCTAAAGTTCTGTGTATCTTGGGTCAGGGTCAGATAACAACCTTCCTCCCCAAATTAGGGCAAAGGTTTGGACCATAGAGCAGGCTTCTGTGGAGTCTATTTGCCTTGAGTTCACTCAACCTCTGGTGTCCAACCTAATCTTCTACCACTCAGTCTGAATTCCCTAGGGCCACAGAATGAGTGAAGTATCTGAAAGTCATTTATCTAGAAGAGGCTTGTGTCTAGAAGACATGAAGAATGTTTATGACTCAATGGTAACAAGACAACCCTATTGCTTAAAATGAGAAAAGCGTCTCAATAGACAATTCTTCAGACAACACACTGATGACCAATGAGCACTTGAAAAGTCGCTTAACACCATTTACCAGAGGAAAATTTAAATCAAATCCTCAGTGAACTATCACTTTATTTGCCAGGATGACAGCCACCAAGAAAAGAGATGATCACAAGTATAGCTGAGAATACGGAGAAATCAAAGAACAAGAGAAGGACAGAGAAGTCGTTCTCTCTTATATCAGCCTACATGTTATCTATGAAAAGTAGAGGTGCATGGTGGTACACGTCTGGGGGCCCAGCACCCAGGAAGCTAAGGTAGAACAATTGTGAGTTCTGGAACAGCCTGGGCAAGACCCTCTCTGTCAAGAAAAAAAAAAAAAAAAAAGGCAGTTGTGGGGAGGAGCTCTGAAGGCATGCCTCAAATGGTTGAGTGCCTCCCTACCAAGCATGAGATTCTGAGTTCAAACCCCAGTACCATGAAAAAAATAAACAAAAAAGGATAAAGAAGTACAGGTGATGTTATTCCACAATGAAAAAAAAAAGTATGTGTTTCAGTTAACTTCTAAAACAGAGCAGAATAAAACTGCTGCTGCTTAATGCTTCCAGCCCCCAAAGCCTGCTGGGGTGGCTTGCTCATCCACCCCTGCCAGGCACCTTCCCAGGAATATCACCAGAAGAAGGCAGGCCCAGCTGGTCTCCCTCATCAAGGTCCAGGCACTTCTCACCTCAAGGGCTCATCTGCAGCACACTGTGGAAACCCCTCAGCTGCAAAACAAACAGAGCCCTAAAACACTTCTCCAGGCTGCCTGGAGAAGTCTGCAGCAGAGGCGGGAATTTCTCTTCCCCTTAGCCTGACCACCAGAAAGGCCTCTGAAAAATTCAGCACTGCTCCCCTGCTACCTCTTCCCACCTAAGGGAGGGTGGAGTCCTGCCCTCCCTCAGGTGTGACTCAGCTGGGCCTGGAGGCAGGAAGGAGAACCCCAGGAGGCTGACACTGGCCAGGGCAGTGCCCTGGTGGGTCTGAAGCACTACAGCATCCCTGGCAGGGAGTGAACAGCTGAGTTCTGGCTCCAGAAGCAACCGTGCTCATCTTGGTCCCAGACTTTCTAACAAGGGGCCTGGCCCTGTGCTAAGCTGGCTCTAGGGAGCCTGCATCTCACTCTTTCTAGGGGCTGCTATGGCATGGGTGGGGATGATAATGTTCTTTGATGCAGCAAAACTGTGGAAGTCACCAGGGCAGAGGAAACAAACCCAGGTCCTGCTATCAGTGGGGTGTGTCTGTGGTCAGGACTGGAAATGAGCTGCTTTGTCCTGCACAGCAGACACATGTTCTAGGGACACTCCTAGGTAAGGGCCAACCTTGGCAGGGTACCTCACCAAGCCCAGCTCTGGGTTCATGCAGGACATAAGATGCAGTGTCCAGATAAAGCCTGGCTTCTGCAGATGTGTCTGTGGAGCTGATACCTCTAAGAATGGAGAGGCAAATAGAGTACAGATGTTCCCTACAACTGCAGGAAAAGGCAGTGGCAGAAGAGCATGGACAGATGGACACATACGGGTACCCCATGTCCAAGAGCCATCATCAGGACAGGCGGGTCCAGAACCATGGACTCTGTGTAGGGGTTGGTGTAGTCACAGACGGTGATGAACTGCAGGATGCTGGGGAACTCCTTCTTCATTGCCTTGTTCTTGATGGGGATCAGTCACTTCTGATGGGCACCTGCAGCCCAAGGGGTGTAGCACTGGTACCAAGTCCTTGTCCCATAGTGGGCAGGCCCAGACCTCAGCCCACAGGACAACACCAGCCTACCACCAGCTAGGTACCATGGCACATATTCTCCACACAGGTGCACACACAATTGTGTGTGCAGACACCAGTAGGAGTTCCTTGGTTCTTCATTCATGGCCCTTGTGGAGGGAAGGCTGGCATCTTAAGGTCTCACCTACCCTTCCTCTCTGCCAGGGGAGTCCTGAGCTTACGTGGAGAGAGGCTAAGCACAAACTTGGTCTGGAAGTCACATTCCTTGCTCTGCAGGTAATCATCTGAGACAGCCACCGTCCACCTCCTCAACCAGCACTGTATATTTGGCCCCAACCTGGACCTTCAAATTGAAGAATAGTGGCAGGAGGCAGCACGCTTGCACGCTGCTTGTGGCCAGGGACAGGGAGGCTGTGGAAGGTGCCAGTGGTTTAGATCTCTTGCAGGAACTTCCTAAAGCCATGGCAGCCACATCCCAGCCTTGATGCTGAAGGGGCTGATGGGTTGCATTGCCTGCTGGGCATCCTCCTTTCCAAGTGTTCCTACATACTCCACCTTCCCTCCCTGTTGGAGAAGCTCTGCCTTGTATTAGAATCTGGAGACCTGTGCACTAGTGCTGAGTTGGGGTACCCTGTACCTGTCCTAGCAATCTCAGGGTCTGATGATACGGAAACCCAAAACCTGTCTTTTGAGATCCAGATGGGTTGACAGACCTGCCCACCAGGGTCTGGTGGGGGTGGGAGTGGTGCCTGGGGATGGAAATGACCCTACTTCAAGGCTATAGGAAATGTGCCTTGTCCTATCGGATCATGTGAAATGATATCCCTTTCACTAGCAATTTAGAGGTTCTTAGGTCCAGCCCTAGAGGATGGCAGGGCAGGAACAAGAAGGTACTCAGTCTGCCCTCTGAGGTGCTGGGTAAAACACAATCCTACCAGTAGAAGAATGGGTAGGGACTGACTAGGTACTGTCAGCGGCAACCCTTTAGGAGTCTGGGGCACCTTGTGGCCCTGCCCTGAAAAAGAGGGGGTCCGACAGGGCTCCCAGGATTGGGATTCAGAGGGTGCCCCGCCCTTTGGTGTCTGGAGCAAACACAGAACTATTCTCCTTGGTCCTGCCATTGTGAGTAGGGGACATCAGGTCATGCTCTTTAGGGTTGGGGACACAGTCCAGTCCTGGGAGCCCTGATTCATTCATTCATTCAACAGGTATTTAGTGATCACCAACTAAGAGTCAAGCACGTTGCAGGTTCCCGGATATAGGGTCCCCGCTGCCTTGGTGGAGACCATGCCTGGAGGGAAGGTGGTCACTAATTAGGCGAACACAAACAGGTGTAATATTGATAGAAGTGTGGGGTGTTCTCTATATAGTTAGAAAGCTTGTTACATTTGGGCATCTTTGTAAAAGGCCGGAAATCTCAAGTTGCCTCGTTCTTCTGCAAAAACTTCACTTCGTAGTAAGAATGAGGGTCTCAGAAGTATTTAGGTCTTAGGCTTGGGTCCTGGGACACCGGGCAGAGTAGATACAACTAGGAAAGAACAGGAGTCAGAGTCCCGATCTCGATTTCCATTCGCAGAGAGAAGCGGTGGACGGCGCCCCTGGCAGTTCCGCTCTCTGGCAGCGGGCAATGGGCAGACCTTAGAGGAAAGGCTCCAGGTGTGGTTCGGTTCGTTTCAAGAACCCCACAGGCTTTTGGGTCTCGCCTCCACTTTGGCTGCAAAGAGGCTTGAGAAAGCTGGAAGAGTTGCAGTGTGCGTTTCTGGCGGGGCTTCAGAAAGGTTCACATTCTGTTCGGCCGCAGCAGCCCCCGGTAGGCGGGGCTTTGCTGGAGGCGTGTCGAGGCGGCTCCTCCGGCCGGCTCTGGAGGACGGTTCACACACGGTTCTCCTTCTGGTTGGCTGAGGCGAGGGTGGGCGGACCTGGGCGGGGGGGGGGGTCCGCCTGGCTGGGCTTGGGGGCGGAGAGGCGGCTTTGCGCCTGTGCGGGACACAGGTTTTAGTACTGAGTGTCTGCGGACAAACCCCCAGGCTGGTCAATCCGGCCCACCTGCAGGATGTGGAGACTGAAGGTAGTGCTAAGTCACCTGGACGGCCGGCTCAAGTCGGACCCGGCACTGCAGGTCGCGCCCTGCTCCAGTGGCTTCCCGCAGGCCTCGGCCGCGGACGTGGTGGTGGTGCACGGGCGGCGCACCGCCATCTGCAAGGCCGGCCGCGGTGGCTTCAAGGTGAGAATCCTTGGGCCGGGAGCCCGGGGGAGGGGGAGGAAGGTGGTCCCTGGAGAGAGGGATCCGGTCATCTGTTCGGTTTCCCGGAGCGGGAGGCGGTCGGCACCCGGGCTGTGGTCGCCTTGTCCCCCTGGGGTAGGGATGCGTGACGCTCACCGCTCTGCAGGACACGACCCCCGACGAGCTTCTGTCGGCGGTGTTGACCGCGGTTCTCCAGGATGTGAAGCTGAGGCCGGAGCAGCTGGGGGACATCTCCGTGGGTGAGCATACCAGCCTCCAGACCCTGTGCTGCGCCCTCCCCGCCTTCCTGTGTCTTCAGCCTTCCCACACCTCCGAACCCGAGTTTCACTGAGGGGAAGGGCGATGGACCCGCTGAGCTCACTGTGATGCACCCCTGATAGCCAGCCTACCCCAGTCCCAAACACTTGGGCACCCCACCCCCGGCACTGCGTATTAAGTGCCATGGAGAACAATGTTCCGTGGGAGATATTCTAAAGCCCAGGAGACGCTGGGAGGCAGGAGACCCCGGATTCTTTCCTCTCACTGACATCCTGTCTATGCCAGGACAGAAGAGAGAGACAGTATCTTCCCCTCACACCCTACCCCCCCCAAACACCCATCTCCATTCCACACCTCATTTACAGATGGAGAACTGACCCACTGAATTTGCTCCTGAGGCCTGGAACTTCACCCGTTTCCCACCCCTGCACCTCTTTCCTTGAAATGTAATATATAATGGAATCAGTGTTTCTCCTCCCTATAGTGACAACAGGACTTGGAAGAGGACACTCCGGGGAGGTGTGCAGTTTCACAATCTCATTTCCCTCACCCACAGGCTCAGTTCCATTAACTGTCACATCTTGCATTGTGTTCCTCTTTGCCTAGTCTACGTTATGTTGAAGGGCAGAACATCTGCCCAGTCAGTGCTGTTTGGACCCTCCAGCATTGGGGCTGGTGTGATCAGGACAAGCTGTTGTGTGGCTGGCTTGCCATGCTCCATGAGCCTGCTGAGGGCTCATATTCACAGCTGTACCTTAGTACCCAGGACACCTGGACACTAAATAAAGACTTCTCTTGTTCATAGGCAATGTGCTTCAGCCTGGGGCTGGGGCCATCATGGCCAGGATCGCCCAGTTTCTGAGGTAATCTTTCTTCTAGCTGTGGTTTAGCCACTGTTGACTCTTTGGGGGCCCTGGCACCTGGAATCACAGCCTGTGAGTGGTGGAAAATCAGAGTGGAAAGGAGACCCCAAGGCAACCAGAACCCCACTTTTATGCACCCAACTTTTGCTGTACTTTAAAGGGAGAGGGGTATTACTTTGTCCTAAGCCAAAACACACAGTGTGTCAGAACTGGAGAAAGGTTCTCTGTGGCCTAATTGTACTCAAAGCCAATTCGTTGCTTACCCTTAGAAAGGGTAGATTCTCATATGTCAGATAAGTAACCACAAAAACATGCTGAACAGCAACTTTGCTTCCCTTGCTAGTTGAGCAAGCTTTATACTCCAGGCCCATCCCATCAGCAGAGGCTTGGAAATGGGACAGAGCCCAGGAGCAGCCCTGGTAATCTTGCCCTTCAGCACTTGTTCTCCCAAGATAGGGAATGAGTGACTTAATTATTTCCACAAATAGATTTAGACCCAGTTCTTGTTCTTCCAGCTGTATAGAGTAGAAGTAATAGCATTATCCTAAGCTAGAAAGAGAAGCAAAACCTGTTAGAACTGAGCTGCAGACCTATCTTACATGTCTGCCCCAGACTAACCTTCCAGCCTCATCTCTCAGTTGCTTCCTCATCTTGACTTTTCCTCCATCAACCAGCCTGCTGTTCTCCCTACCCTCCACATTCTGTCCCTGAAGAGTGCTGTCCCTGTTTGCTCTCCCTGCCCTAGCTATACTCTGTCCAATACAAGTCTCACCATTGGGAGGCAAAATTCACCCAACCTGTCATGCAAAAAATGAGAGACCTTCTCTCTAGTAGGTTGCATGTGCTTCTCTACTTGTGACTTGGCCATTTGGCCCTGCTATTTCCATCTCTGCCAGTGGATTCTCTTTCTGTATAGTGGCTGGGCATCCTCTGGAGACCACCATTGTAGGCACCCCTAACGTGGTGCCTTATATTTGTAGGTATTTGGTGGAAATTTGGTGGCTTTGGTAAAGGAGTGGTAACCAGGTGTTCAGCAGACATATGGAGCCATTCACATGGAGGGCCAATGTGGAGCCTGGCCTAGGCACTAACACATCTTCCCAAGCCTGGCCACACAGCAGAATCATCCAGGTGTATTCACTTCATGAAATTCTGAGTGGGTCTGAGAAGGGCCTAGAAATGTCCCTGGGGCTTTAACATATTGGCCAATGGAGGTTACATTGGGAAGGCATTCCTAGTATCTCCCAGGGCTGAGCCCAATATAAGATGGGATCCCCCAGAGTAAGAGGTATAAGAATAAACATGCCCAACAGAGCACTTTTTCCAGATGGGGCAAGATATAACATGAAATGATATCACAGATCTGTGTTTTTAGTAAGGCTGAAGTATAGGGGTCGATGATGGCCTTGTTCTTGATATGCCTTTTGCTCTGGTGGCCTAGCAACAGGCCTCCTTCTCTGTTCCTTGGGGACAACAGAGATGTCTGGTTTTCAAAAGGAGAGAAAGGACCTCAGTGGCCCAAACATGTTTCCTGTGCCCTGGGTTAAGGAGAACCATGGAGTGGATGGGCATGCGCTTAGTGCCTCTGGGCAGCATGCACCTGCAGAGGCAGTCTGTCCAGAAGCTTCTCACCCCCCCATTCTATAAGTCTGCAGAGGTGGAAACGGGCTGTCAGGTTGTTCCCCTGGTCTGTGCACCCATAGGGACAGTCATGTGACTCATTAGCACAGCTCTGCTTTCCAAGAGCCTGTCAGGACAGGGCTGACTGGGCCATATCTCCTTCTGTTTCAGTGGCATCCCAGAGACTGTGCCTTTGTCCACTGTTAATAGACAGTGTTCATCAGGGTTGCAAGCAGTGGCCAACATAGCTGGTAAGTTGAGATTGGGTAGTGCCCATGACCATGGCCTAGCATTGGTCTGTCCCCTTGGGATTAGGTCAGAAAAAAGTTGCTGCCTGCTGGGCCAGCAGTAAGCATTTCTGAGAGGACTCTGGGAACAGGAGGGGAGGAACACCCATTACTTGCACACAAGCCTTTCCGGGCACTCCTGGGTCTTCTCTGAGGTTGTGCTCAGTTGCACCAGAGAATGGGTAGCAAAGGGGCTCTGCTGCTCCCATCACAGTTCAAAGCCAGCCCGAGAAAATAGTTTGTGAGACCCATCACAAAAAAGGGCTGGTGGAGTGACTGAAGGTGTAGGCCTTGGGTTCAAACCCCACTACCACAAAACCCCAGTACTGGGGCTCTGCTGCTCCCAGAACAGACTTACTTGGGCCACGGACAGTTACATAGTGCTTTTGTTGCAGGTGGCATCAGAAATGGGTCTTATGACATTGGCATGGCCTGTGGGTAAGAATTTCTTCCAGTTGGAGCTTATTAACCACCTGTGATGATCAAACCAATTTTACTCTCCTCAGGTTTCAGGGGCCACAATTTCAGGATTTTCCCTGAGCACCTGGAGGCATCTGGCTGGGAGTGTGCTCCCACAAATGCAGCCTAGGTGTGGCCCCCAGCGGTGACCCCTCAGCAATAGCTCACATCTCAGCAGTAGTGGGGGAGGGCAGTTAGCCTCCAAGCTTTCTTTACTGGAAATCTGTCAGGCTGGAAATGTGAATGAGCATGTTGGGAAAATGCAGCACTTAGACTTCCTTCTGTGGTTTTTGTTGATTCTCCATGCTGCTGAGAGAGAAGTGGAAGTTTGGTTCCCTAAAGCCAGGGACAATTCTCTATTGTCTAAATATCTATTCATTTTACTGGACTATTGACCCCTGTCCCTACCCTGGGACCAAGGTGGGAACTTCCAGCTGACTGAGTTCTGGGGGACAAAATCTCTGTTGTGATTTGGTCATTGTTACCTCCACCCAGATTGTGACATCACCTTTGCTTGCAGGAAATGGAACTGTAGAAATTGTATTTATAGAGCCTCCAGGGAAGAGAAAGGTGCTAGAAGGATAGGTTGATCTGTCTTTCAGATCCTGGTGGAGTGTTACTTGACAAGAAGTATTTCTGGCCTCTGCCAAGTTCTGGGCTGACTTGCACTGGGTTGTGTTCTATCCTATGTCTTAGTAGGAAGACAGCCAAAGTCTATTAAATAGTAACTGTGACGAGGCAAGGGCCATTGCCCTCCCTCCCCTTTGTTGTCCCTCCTCTTTCTGTCTTATTGGGGTAGAGCATGTGTGGGCAACATTTGCAGAAGGCTGGAGTCTTTGTAAGTTCCCCAGGTGACTGAATTCAAAGCAGGTTAAGGTGCATGGTACAAGTGTAGTAAAGATCAGGGCCAGGTTAGTACTGAAATCACAACCTTGCAGTTCCTAAAACAAGAATGTACATTTTCCCAAGAATCCCCACTGGGAGTGAGCTCTGGAGCCAAACTGCCTACCTGGGGTCCCAGCTGGTGACAATCCACATTCCTCTATTTCTCTAGATCCTCATGTGCAAATGGGGATTCCTGCCTCAGTTCTATCCATGTTGATGAAGGATTGAGTGGATAACACAGTTCACACTTGGGCCCTGAAACATGTGACTAACACTGCTAAAGACTCATGCCTGAAAATAGTTCCCACTAGTGCTAAGGGGGGGACAAACACACTCAGTCAGGGTTGCATGTTCTCATTCTTGAAGTTATAGGCTCTCCCCCACAGTTCCTTTGACCCCTCTACACTGGCCACTGCCCCTTCCTCTCCACCCATCCCACCTCCTTGTCTATGCAGGTCTGGGCACTCCATGATATGAGCTTTGTGATCACTTTAAAGATTTTCTTCTTCTGACTAAGAGGTTTTGGGGAAGGGCTGGGCTTTGGGGTGTTTCCTGTACTGTGGTGCCCACTGTCTGGCACAGCAGTTGTACAGTGCAGCAGGACCCTGTTCTTAGGAGTGCACATGGTGCAGGGCTCTGTCCTGGGCTGCAAGGCGAGACAGGGCTCAGCAGCTCTGAAGCCCCTGCTCTGCCTCACTGACCACATGCCCTGCTCGTGCTTTCTGGAGGACCCACTAGACTTCCCAAGGGCCCCTGGCTATTCCCCAGCACTACCTGAGGGTTCTAGTAGAATTCAACCCCTCCTTCTTTCTCTTCCTCAGGGTGGAGTCCATGTCCCTATCTGGTAGAATGAACCCTGGAAACATTACTTCCCGTGCGATGGAAAATAAGAAGGCCAGAGACTGCCTGACCCCTATGGGGTGAGTGCCATGCATAACTTGTGTACCTCAGCTCAGTTCTCTTCCTCATGACCGAGGCACTTTCTCATCTATGTGGATGGAAGTTCCAGCCTGGTTCCCCTTTCTCTCTGTGTTACCTCTTCTCCAGGGACTCTGGGCATGGGACCTGATGCTGCCCTTGACTCCCCTTTCCTGAGGCCCCCAAGTCTTCTCTAAGTCCCTGCATTTCCAAACACAGTCCACCCGGTCATGTCCCTCTGAGGTGCCCAGTCTTAGGAAGGATGATGGCAGCTATCCCCCAAGCTGGGCCTTATCACGTGCAACATGGGAAATAGGTTACATTTATCCAGCACCTGGTCTGTAGCTGGTCTCAGCTCTAGCTACCACCAATGCCCTTGGTGGAAAACTGACTTCATGGATGTATGAGAAGGTAGAGGATTATGGAGGACAGTGCCTGGCTTTGTCCACATCCTATATTTCTTGTCCTGGAAAACAAGAATCCTGGGCCAAAAGACCTGGGTCCAAGGATAAGGACAGGCTTTCACTCAGCTGAGCAGTAGCTAGGTTTGGCCTTTCCAGAGGTGACATGGGCATCCTCATCTCCCCACATGACAGCACTTCTCCTTGGGCATAGGGGACTATGGCCAAGCATGGCTGGGTAGTACCCCACTTAGCCTCCTACCCCTTCCCTTTCTTTTAGTATTGGGGATTGAACTCAAGGCCTTTCACTTGATAGTCAGGCACTCTACTCTGAAGAACCATGCCCTCAGTGCTCTGCCCTCTTGCCTCTGCACTGAGGCTGCTAATCCAGGGACAAAAATTCTGCATGTGGGTACCTTCCCTCTGGGAGAGGGTATCTTTGGTATATGAGCCTCTGAGCATAGTCCAGTGCGGTGACTCCCTATTTGTGCCCTACATCATCCTGAGGGCATGTGTGCCACTTCCTCTTGTCATGCTGTCCCTCTGGTATGGATTGGCCCTGGGGTCCAGGAGTCTGAGCACAGCTCTACAGTCCCACCCAGGCCTCCAGGCTGCCAGACCCAAGCCCACCTGGTTTGCTGTTTGTGTTCTAGGATAACCTCAGAGAATGTGGCTGAACAGTTTGGCATTTCAAGAGAGAAGCAGGACACTTTTGCATTGGCCTCCCAACAGAAGTGAGTGCAGCTTGGCTGAAACATGGAAATGGCTGGTGATGAGGTTGTAATGGTCTAAGGTGGAACTAGGCAGTGAGGGGTTTACAGCCTCATGCTTCCAGATGGAGGTGGCAGGGGCCAGCACTTTGTGGGTTCATGGCTTCTCCAGGTCCTCTTACTGACTGTCCACATTGAGGTCTGAGTGTCTTCTCCCTAGCTGGGCCTTGGGTCTCTCTCTGTCACTGTAACATGGGCCAGGCCTCATCTCCTTTTGGCTGTGGCATGATGTCTGGACATGGTGGCCACTGGCTTCTTTAAGGTCCAAAGCATAGGGACAGCCTTGCTAGACACCTGTCACCCTAGTATCTGGGGCAGGCTGGGGCTGAGGAAGCACCCTGAGGCAGGGACAGGGGCTGGGGCTGAAATCTGAGAAACACAGAGCCTTGGGCCTCTGTCAGTGGCAGGCTAGGTTGGCCAGTCCAACCGTGCAGAGGACAGCAAAGTAATGGTCAGTGTCCTGAACAGATGACATCCCCCAGGCAGTGATTCCCAGCCTCTCAGGGAGAGGTTAGTATGTGCACTTTGGTTGAAAACTTTAGGTTCCTTATCATAGAAATGTCCTTGGGTGCTTGTATTTTGTACTTGATTATATTATACAGGGTCCCCTGAAAAGCCCTGTGCTTTTAATACTATGAAAAGCATCAAGGAGTTGAGTACACGTCACTTAAATATATGGAAACTGGAGAACAGGTGAAGTGGTATGGTGAAAAGGAAAGCTTGTAGAACCCAACATAAATATTCCTGGGGCTCCATCCTCAGTGTAATAGAGACCACACTTAGTCCCTGTTGGATGATAGACTACAAAGAGAGGGACACAACCTCTAGACTTCATTCTTCCCTTTGAGGTTGGAATTGGCCATGATCTGGCATGTAAGGTTGATGACAAAGGTGTCCCAGAAGGCCTTGGGTATGTTTTCCCATCCCAGGGACAGGTGGGGGTCCTGAGCAACCCCCAGGCAGTCAACTTGGGTTCCCTCAAGAATAGGCTTGTCCCCAAACTTCAAAGTCTAAGGTTGTATGTCTTCTTGTGAGGGCAAAAGTGGGGGCAGGAAGGAAGGGCACCCACTCCAAGGGAGCCTGAGCTTGGCTGTGCTTGGTGCTGGCAGGGCCGCAAGAGCCCAGAGCAGGGGCTGTTTCCGCACTGAGATTGTGCCTGTGACCACCACCATCCTCGATGACAAGGGCACCAAGAGGAGCATCACCGTGTCCCAGGATGAGGGTATCCGCCCTAGCACCACCATGGAGGGCCTGGCCAAGCTGAAGCCTGCCTTCAAGGATGGCGGCTCTACCACAGCTGGTGAGCCTGGGCAGGGGAGTGACTGAGCCAGGCTGGCTGTTCTATTCTGGGAGCATGGAACTGACCAGGGCACTTCACAAGGTGAAGTGGAAGGACTTCCACAAGGTGGCTGTGGAAGGACTGGTCCTTAGCCCCACCCTGATGCCTCCTCGCCCCAATCATTTATCCCCTAGGGAATTCTAGCCAGGTGAGTGATGGGGCAGCAGCCGTCTTGCTGGCCAGGAGGTCCAAGGCCAAAGAGTTGGGCCTCCCTATCCTTGGCGTCCTGAGGTCCTATGCCGTGGTTGGGGTCCCACCTGATGTGATGGGCATCGGACCTGCCTATGCCATCCCTGTAGCTTTGCAAAAAGCAGGTAAGGTGGCTCCTTCACACCCTAGACTGGATTTCCCTCCCACCCTACAGCTGGGAGGCACTGGGATTGGTCCTGTGGGTGCTGAGGAATGAAGGTGGGCAGGCTAGCACCCATACCAAGGCCTTTTGCACCCACTCACACAATAGAAGAGACAGACACACTAGGCACTTGGGACCCAGGGGAGACGCTGAGTCCTGCCCAGGGGCCACTGTCAGCTCAGGTCTATACCTTGCCTGCAGGGTTGACAGTGAATGATGTGGACATCTTTGAGATCAACGAGGCCTTTGCAAGCCAGGTGAGTCTGTCTCAGAATTGCCTGGGTCCTGGAAGTCCTATAGGAGTGGGTGGGCCAGCTGGGCAGGGTGCAGTAGAGGCTCCAGCGGCTCTGGCTTCTTGCAGGCAGTCTACTGTGTGGAGAAGCTAGGAATCCCCCTGGAGAAGGTGAACCCCCTAGGGGGTGCAGTGGCTCTGGGCCACCCCCTGGGCTGCACTGGGGCGCGACAGGTCATCACACTGCTCAACGAGCTGAAGCGCCGCGGGAAGAGGTGAGGCTGCTCCTCATGAGGTCATGGGGGATGCCCGAGCTGGGGCGTCTGAGGGGTGGGACCTGGGGAGGTGAGCACACAGACACTCCGAACTAGGGACTTAGGGGCGTGAGCCCTATCTTCCTGAAGGGCCAGCCTTGAATGTAACCCTGGCCGATAGAGGGCATCTGCTGCCTGGACTGTGTGCCAGGTGGGCAGTCAGGGAACCAATTTTGGACAGGTCTGGACTGCGGGTTTTGCATCCTCTATCCAGGAGACCCTGGTCCATGCAGTTCAGCCTGGGGGTGTGGGTGGTGGGCCTTGGTGGTTTGGCCTCTGCCCAGCCAACGCAAGTTCTATTCCCCAGGGCATATGGAGTGGTATCCATGTGCATCGGAACTGGAATGGGAGCCGCTGCTGTCTTCGAATACCCTGGGAACTGAGGTCCTGCTGGAGGTGCTGCCCAGACAGCCCTGCTTTGGTACCAGACAGGGACATTACAGAATCATCCACATGGGACATCCAGCACCTGTGGTGGTACAGGTGGACAAATCAAGGGACTTTACCTTAGAAAATGTGAACACAGATGACACAGTCCGGGAGCGGATGGGGTATTGGGCCACCCCCACAGTCCCCTGTAGCTGAGCCAAAGTTGGTGTGGGTCATCCAGGCCTGAGGGCCATCATGTAGGTCTTGGGGGGATGGTGACTTTTGGACAGGGTACATTGGATGTAATAAATGTGCTTGACAGCTGTGGTTTATCCAAGGGCCAGCTTTGGCCCTGCTGGTCTTCTCTGCCATCTGAGAAATGATTCTTCATGACTTGGTCTCCATGGTGGTGTGGCCTATGCTTTGTGTTATTTCTGGGGACATAGGATGCAGGGCCTTAGCTGTGACCCCTGCCATGGAAGGGGGCTCCTCCATCCCAGGAGCTGTTGGAGCCCCTGGTCATGTCCCTGGCACAGCAGACCGGATCCTCAGCCCTGCGCCATGTTATTCCCTCAGCTGAGGAGGGCTGTAGGGCAGGGATGCCTCAGAGCTGGTGATGTGCCATGTATCTCTCGTCATAAGAGCCTTGGCCCCGGAGCCGCAGGGTGCAGGCCTTCTCACCCAGCACGCCCTCTACCACCAGCATGGACTTGTACAGCTTTCTGCTCCTGAGAGACAGGAAGTGTGGGGAGGGGAGGACAAGTGAGGTAAGGAGATCCCCAGCAGTAACCCTAGTCCTATGGGCAGTGCCCAGGAGCTGCCTCCTTCTGTCCTGTGCTGAGGAGACAGGAGGACGTCCATGGGCACAGGCAGGTCCATGCGTTGTCCCACAAGACTTCATTTGCCCCAGGCCAGCCTGCCTCTCAGGTGTCACCTCTGGTCTGCCAGCAACACAAGACAGGGCAACCCAGGGATCACTTGGGATCAGAGACTGGCCATCTCCAGGAGTGACCATTGGCACCACCCCCTCAGGAGCTAGCCTACTAGGCCAATGCCCAGGGGCCCTTACTGGGGGGTCTTGCCCAGCCCCACTAGAGAGCAGTTGGCAGGCAAGAGGGCAACACATACCCATCACCACGGTCCAGTAGCTCTGGCAGCCACTGAGGTTCATCAGGTAGACCTCCCAGGCCTGCTGCTGGTTCGCAAAGCAGGTCCCAAAGTCCACCCAGCTGGTGGAGAGCTGCAGCTCAGGCACAGCCACAACAGCCTGCAGTAACCACCTAGGGGCACAGTCTTAGACTTGATGGTAGATGGAGTGACTTTGCCCACTGCAGTAGGGCTCTGAGCTGGGGTCACTGGGGCACACCAAATTACTGATGTCTCTGAGCAAAACAGGGACAGCAGGTGGCAGAGGCTGATACTGCCATCATAGCCAGTGGGTGCTGGCAGGATTTGTGTGGCAACAGGCCAGAAGGAGCCCTCTGCTCCCCATCAGCCCCACTCCCATGGAGCCCTGTGCTCGACCTTCTCTCCTCCTTCCTCCCACTCCTCTTTCTATGGGGCCTGAAGCTCAGCTCTCCATAGCCCCCACATCACCTCCAGCTGCTGTCATACACCACTTGCTCCCTGTGGTCCCTGGCAGCTCACAGTGCTAGGGGACAAAACAGGGACTTGGCTTCCCACTTGGCCCATGACTTCTGGCCTCTCTTCAGCCCCCCTGCCCCAGTCCTCACCCTCAGCCCCAGATAGGCTCCCTGCTCCCTTGGCTCCACACTAGGGCCTGTGACCGGGCTGTGAAGCTCACCCTGGAGCTTCAAGTCCTCCACAGCTGCCTCAGGTGCTCACTGTCCCCATGCAGCAGCCCGTCCCCCAGTCTGTCAGTGTGGTTTCCCTTCTCCTTGATTAAACACCACATTAGGCTTCCCCACCACCTCCTCTAGGGAGCATCCCTGGTTTCCCACCCTCCAGCCCCTGACCTGGCTCTGAGCTCCTGAGTCATGTGAGGAAGGATGGCCCTCCTCTCCCTGGGCACAAGGCCTCTTCCAGGGCAGTCTGCAACCACAGTCAGGGACTGGGGCTCCTCATTGCTGAGGGCCTTTTCTGGCGGTGTCTTTCCTCTCACCCCATGGAACAGAGCCCAGCAGGTGCCACCCTTCTCCCTGCAACTTACCTGAGTGGTCTGGTTGGTGAACTCCAGGAACAGAGGCTGAGTAAACACCATCTCTTTCTCTCCATTCTCGCTCTGCTCAATATCCACTCCAGGCAGCATCTGGTCATCCGGGAGCTTCTGGTAGGAGAGCAGCTCCAGAGAGAGCAAGAAAGACACATTCACCTGAGCAAATGTGGACACAGTCATCTCAGGCTGGTGAGGGCAGACAGCACTTACCCAACTGAAGTCATGTCCTGCTGCCCTCTGGAGGCCCCTGCAGGTCCAGCAAGGGCGAGCCCTGGCCCAGGCAGCCTGCAGGGCCCAGATGAGCCCAGCTGCACAGCAAACAGCCCAGCAGTGCCCCCGTCTGGTGCATTCGTTCTATGAGCACTGCAGGCACCTGCTCTGCAGAAAAGCCAAGCAAGCCCTTGCCTGCCCTCAGGAGTCAGAGGCCAAAGGGTAAGAGAATCAGCAAGTGCTCATTCCACTTTGCATAACCCGGGCCAAGGTGGAGCCCCTGGGCTGAGGATGGGCTTTGTCTTTGTCTTGAAGACATGAGAAGCCTGTGAGGGTTTAAAGCAGGGATCTCCCTGAGTCAGCTCTTCCTTTCTCAAGGCCACACTGGCCACTGTGGGGAGGTGGGCTGTGGGAGCATGAGTGGATCGAGGAGGCTGAGACCTGAACTTAGGCTTAGCAGGGTGAGGTTTGGATGCTGGCTCCCAAAGACAAGTCTGTGGACCTAGAGGTATAGGACCAAGGTACCTGTTGGTGGTACAGATTCCTGGGCCTCAGAGTCAGCAGCAGGTCAGTGAGACCCTTTATTAAAACCTTAGGAAGGTTTGACTATGTCTCCAAGACCTTTCCAATTAAATCTATAGTTATGTAGAGCTTTTGTGATGTTCTGTATTGGTGCTGTCCAATTCAGCAACTACTAGCCATGTGAAAAATATGACAGAGGAACTGAATTTTAAATCTTACTTGAATTAAATTTAAATTGCCATTTGTTACTAGTTGCTATTGTAGTGCAGATTTCCACCCTGACATACTGAATCAGAAATTCTGGGAGTGGGCCCCAGAGACCTGTGTTTTAGCAACATGTCACTTAGGTGAGGGTTGAGAGTCAGCTAAATTAGCATTCAATAACAACAAAAATAATTACAATACCTTCACATATCTGGAAATTTTTAAAGTTTTCTAAAAAACACTTCTCAGGCCTCTAGGTCTAAGAAGAAATCACTACAGAAATTAGAAAATATGCAGTACTAAATGATTTTTAAAAAAAGATTGTGTATCAAAACCCAGCATGTTGGTGAATGTCTATAATCCCAAGTATGCAGGAGGTGGAGGTAGAAGGATCTCTGTCCAAGGCTGCCTGGGCAAAAGCATATGACCCTATAGGAAAAATAAAGCAAAAATTTCTGGGGATGGGAGGCAAGTAGTAGAACGCTTACCTGCTCAAGGCCCTCGGTTCAAACCTCAGTACCACCAAAACAAAACAAAAAATACCTGTGAATTACAGCTAAAGCAATAATAGTAAGAGGAAAAGTTAGTCTTCATGGTTATATTAACAAAAAAGAAAGGCAGAAAATTAATGAGTGAGGTGTTTCAATTTAAGAAGTTAGAATAGTGTACCTACGTATGTCCCTCAAGTGTCTACCCAGCAAGCATTCATACTGCCTAAATAAATAAATATACCCATCAGATAAGTAAAGAATGAAGTTATTAAGAACAGAGGGTGGGGGAAGCTCAGTGGCAGAGTTCATGCTTAGCCTTTATGAGAACTGAGTGAAACAGAAAACACTAAAAATTGTTTAATTAAAAGGATTCGTTATATGGGCTAATGCAAAAACATCTGCCAATTTCAATGCTTTGTTTTTGAGATGGAAATCTCACTATATTGCCCAGGTAGGTCTCAAAACCTGTGGCTGGATCCTCCAGACTCAGTCTCTAGAGTAGCTCAAAGTAAAGGCACGTGCTACAATGCCTAGCAATTTTTATTTCTTTTAAAAAAGAGAGAAGGTACAAGTGAACACTATTAGGAATTAAAAAGGAAAAAGAGGGCTGGGTATCAAACCCAGGGCCTTATGCATATTAGGGAATCACTATACCACTTAGCTACTTCCCAGCTCCCAAATTTGTTTTATTAAGGCCACAGTCATTGGATTAGAGGCCACCCTCATCCAACATGACCTCATCTGTGAAACCTTATTTCCAATAAAGCTGCCTTCCCAATACTGGGAGTTAGGACTTGAACACATCTTTTAGGGGTACACAATTCTACTCACTACATGGTATTAATTTAACTCTTTAATGAAAACATTCAAGAATATGCATTTAAGCAGCCACTGGTGGCTCACACCTGTAATCATAACTACAGAGGTCAGGAGGATTGAAGTTTGAAGCCAGCCTCTACCAAATAATTCTGGAGTCCCTATCTTGAAAATACCCAACACAAGAACAGGGCTGGTAGAGTGGCTCAAGTGACCGAGAACCTGCTTAGCAAGCATGAAGCCCTGAGTTCAAACCCCACCAATGCAAAAAAAGAAAAAAACAAATGCATTTACCTGTAAGTGTATTCTAAGTGTCTGATAAGGATGCTTTCGTTTTCCTGCTTTCTAAATGGGTATTACATTTTTATTTCCTATTTCACCCACTGATTATGAAGACAATGATTTCAAAGTTCTAAGCAACTTGAGGTCCACCCAATTATTTTGTTGTTGTTTTTTTTTTTGTATTATTTTTGTCCACAAACTAAAAATTCAACAAAAGAGAGTAAGTTGAACTGCAAAAGTCATCCCATTCACCATTTCCAAATCTCACTCCCACGGGTGATTGTTATGGATAACTCAGTATACCTTTCTGGACTTTTCTTTCACATATACAGAAATACTTGGTTTATCATGGAGAAAAGTTCCCAAGGATGAATGAAGAAACCAGAAAAATGGGACATATTTACACTTAATTTTCCTAAAACACATTTGATTCCAAAGAGAGTACAAGCACATAGCAGCAGAAATACTCAGACTTGGAGGAAATAGCTCTTGTCTCCAGAACTCTTTGGAATCTGCTTGCTTAAAACATCCACATCCATCAAACTTTTCTCCAGATATGAACATAAAATCAGCTTTAAAAAAAAAACAGTTTAA